CTGCTTGCCTGGTGCCAGATCTGATGAGCTTGCAGAGTTTGGTAAAAGCATATTTGTTCATATATGCATCTTGTTAAATGGCTTTGTTTATTGTTTTCTTGCTTACTGTCTGTTCTATTGCTTTGCATTTTATCAGTTAGTTTTTTATTAGGTGATTCTGCTCTGGTTTCTACATTCGCTTTAATTTTATTGCTCTGCTGTTTTGGGTCTGACTTATTCGTAGTCAGCTAATGCTGTTTTAAGAATACTGCTGAGGTTTTAGAGGCTGGGTTTAATATTTATTGTATTTTGATTTGCCGTGAGCTGCACCAAGAACCTTTGGACTGAGGGATGAGATACATAAAACCAATAATATGAGGAAAGAATATCGGATTTTAATGAGAGTTATCATTACTGTCTTACCAGGATTTGCCTATAAAGGAACTGTCAAAACAGGAAGGCTCATAGTCCCAGCCAGAGTAGACTCAAGTCACAAATGAAGATGGCAACCAAACAGTGAAGCTTTGGGGTTTTGTTAAACACTCATGAGCTCAATGGAAAAAGAGAATGCCGTGATCCAAATGGCACCACAGTTTGCTTGAAATGGTGACTCAAGGAAAAATGGTCAGCAGAGGGATAAAAGAAAGTGAAGAGCCTATAAACAAGCAGTGCCCTTGGCCAGTATCACACCCCACATAATTGCTAGGGTTGCTGTCCATGCTTATAGCCGCTACCACCTTCACTGCCACAGGAGGTGGTGGCAGCTACAAGCACGGACAGCTTCAAGTGGGAATTAGATAAGCATATGGAGCAGAAGTCCATCAGTGGGTATTAGCCACAAGGTATAGACAGGAACTCTCAGGCTGGGGCAAGTGATGCTCTGTATTCTTGGTGCTTGGGGGGGGGCAACAGTGGGAGGGCTTCTAGTGTCCTGGCCCCACCGCTGGACCTCTGGATGTCACCTGGTATTTTTGGCCACGGTGTGAGAAAGTGTTGGACTAGATGGGCCATTGGCCTGATCCAACATGGGCATCTCTTATGCTCTTACATTCGCATGGGAAGTGGGTGACCAACTGGCATGGTGGGGAGCTCACCACTGACACTGTGACATCATCAATGATACCGCGGCATAATTTCCAGCACAACCTGGAAGTGACATCATAATCACATAGGGGTGACACTCTAGAATTAACCATGACATCACTTCTGAGTCATGCTGGAAATGACAGCACTGCATCATACTGGCCCACTGAGTGGTGGTATGGGGAAGCGGACTTCCAGGGGGAGGGCTCCTGCAGATCTGGGAGACCTGGCAGCCCTAAGTATTGTTGATTTCTTTGCAACTCAATACACTCAGAAAACTGGTGGGGAGGGGGTAGAAGTCCATCAAGAGGGAATTTGAGCAGACCTTGCATGAGTTCAGACCACCCCCATCAACAACATGCACCAAACAGCTTCCCTTTCACCAATCCAAATGTGATGGTTGAATCATGGATGTCAACATACAAAGAACTATTAGATCCAAAAAATGAACTAAAATCACAGGAAATGCTGCAACAAAGAGGCATAATATTCAACTGGTAGGACAGAAACCAACTCGAATTCAGATATGCCAAAGACAAACAGATATGCTTCTGCGATGAAATGACAAGTTTTGACAAAACTCTCTTAGGTGTAGAGAGTAAACTCATCAAAAAACTATTATCTTAGACTTTAGGATGTCAGATGAAGAAGTAAAAATACCCATGACTGCATGGGCAAAGAATACAGGACACAATATTGACTTAAATAAATGGGCAAAGTATGAGGTACTTGAAGGTGATCTCTCTGAAAGAGAATGTATTTAAGATGTTTCACAGGTGGTATCTTCCACCAGATAGATTGGCCCACTTTTACCCTAAAATGAGCAATAGATGCTGGAAATGCAAATGTAAAGTGGGCTCCTTCTATCATACATGGTGGACATGAGAGAGATCAAAAAAATTCTGGCGCGAGATCCATACCATCGTGTCCCAAATAGTAGGGGTCCAGATTCCACTAGATCCCGAAATATTTTTACTTAACATAATGCTTGATAGTTTGCAGAGATTAGATAAATATCTGATCATACACGTAATAACTGCCGCAAGAATTATATTTGCAAAAATTTGGGGGAAAGATGCACCATCTAAATGTGATTTAATTAAAAAACTCATGGAGGTAGCAGAATTAGATAATTTACCATTGAAATTACAAGGAAGAGAAGAAACTACCTTCCAAAATACTTGGTCATGTGTTTATGACTGGATAGAGAAAAATCTCTAAAATGATGTAAATTCAGTATATATACCTATTAGTTATTATACGCCTATTATATACAACGAACAACTATAATTTCTTCTTTTTTGTATGTCAAAAAAGACTTAAGGGGTTCATCTATGTATGTTTGTTTGTTCATCCAGTCTTTTAGGATTGTTTGTCCCTACACTTTTCGTTTGGAAAATAATAAATACTGTATTGAAAAACAACAACAACAACCACAAGCGCCAAACAGGTTCCAAAGCCATGCAAACATAAAATCAGTCTACACATGCAGCAGAATCTCGTGGTGCAGTTTTTCCAGCCATGCTTCTTTTGTCTATGAATGGGGCAACAACTTGTTTGAACATTTCCACTGTGGGAGGAGGAATCCTCCCCAAACACAAGTTAGCTTGTTGGGAAGATGGGTTCTATGGTAACTTTCCCCCCTGTGGTTTCTGTCAAGGAGGCCTTTTTTGAAGAGAGGCACTTTTGTCTGTAGGCCAATGTTATACCAGCTCACAACAGGGTTGCTGGCTCTAGCTTGGGAAATCCTTTGGAGAGCCAGAGGTGGTGCCCGGGGAGGAAGCTCAGTAGCAATGTAAGGCCACAGAACCCGCCCTCCAGAGCAGCCATTTCCTCCAGGGGAACTGCTCTCTGTCACCTGGAAATCAACTGTTAATTCCAGAAGGACTTCAGGCACCACCGGAAGATTGGGAATCCGAGCTCAGGAGAGCTTCCGTGTCTACTCTTGTGCCAGGTGCTGCTTGGCTCTGAGAGGCCCCAGAGTGTTACACTCACCTGAGCCGCCATGTCCACCAGCTGGGGCAACCGCAGATACTTGCCCATCTCCCCTTTCAAGAAATCCAGGAGGCTCCCTACAGGAGGAGAAAACAGTGGTCAGCCATTACAGTAGAAGCCGGCCCCATTAAGTGCTTTGCCTCGTGGCTTTGTACCTGGAGTGGCTTGTAAGATGGCCTGGGTGGTTTATACTGAACGGTTAGATGAACACGATCTCAGAAAACACAAGAACACGTGCAGGAGTCTGTCCCCTCTGCACAAATGCACTCCTCTTTTAATCCCATAGAATTTGGGAAGACAGGAGGCCAATTCAGATGAAAGAAAACATTTGAACGGGGCCATGCAACCGTTTTTAAAAAGCATGGAAAACGTTTAAAACATGAACATTTCATCATGTTTTCTCACATTTCCAGATTTGGCAGTAGTTCTCCACCCCAGGGAACTTTGGGCAAGTTAGCACTGGCATGGCAGAGGCTGAATTGTGAGTTGGCCATAATCCAAAACAGCCACATGACCTCTTCAGCAGTTGCCAAACACTATGAATCCACTCAATCTTGTGTTTATGACACATCCCTTTGATTGTATGAATCAGACCTTAGGTAATGCAAAGCAGTCAAGGTTGGTGTTCCAGATGTTGCTGCTTTCTTTCCCTCCCATTTTGTCTATTCAGTTTGCTCGGGAGAAAGGAAGAGAGTAGCACAGAGAACGTCCCACCCCTTTGGCTTTTTGCACGTGGCCCTTACAAGCCAACAGCACACCTTTGCACATGTATTCCGTTACAATGTAGATGGGCTCCTCTGAAACCACAGCATACAGCTGCACCAGCTTCTCATGGCGGAGTTTCTTCATGACCTGAGCCTCCTGCAGAAATGCTTCGGGAGACATCGTCCCGGGCTTCAGAGTCTTGATTGCCACCCGAGTGGTGCCATTCCAGGTGCCTGGGGAAGAAAAAGGAGATCAATAAGGCTTTGTTCAGAAGCACTAGATTCACAGTCCCTTTTGAACCAGCTAGTTTTCTCCAAATAAGAAAATGCTTTCAGTCTCAGACATAGTCCACAGGCACACTACAACTTCAACAATGTCCAGCTTTTGTGAGACTTTGTCGAGAGGCAATTGTAGCGCCTTGAGCTGGTACACTCGAGTAACCCCCTGGAAATCTCCTGCTGCACTGATCCACTGTCGTAGTCGTGAAAACAGCCATTACGCTGGATCCTGTCTGCTTTTTGACTTGCATCGTAAGATCAGGCTGCAGGGTAATGAATTCCAGATGACCAAGAAAAGAGGTTTCTTCTGTGAAGTGCAACAGCTACTGACTTTCCACTTCCCATCCTCCCAAACGACACTGTCAGAAAGTCACTTTCTTGCCACGAAAACTCTGACAGCCACCCAGACCGGAAGATGTGTTCTTGACTCAGGGACCTGCCAGTTATCCTTACCCATCCACACTTCTCCAAAACAGCCTTGCCCAAGCTTCACCTCTAACCGCAGCGACTCCCGAGGGATTTCCCAGGCGTCCTTTGCCAGGCCTTGCGTCTGAGGCTTGCTAGTCGGACAGACATTGGTGAGACGGTGGCACAGGCCATCTGCATGCTCTGAGAAAGGGGAATGGGCACAGCAAAATAAGTTCCTGTGTAAGATTTCTGGAGACTTCCAGACCCTTCTTTCTTTCTTAAGCCCAGCCTGGATCCCTCTTGAGCCTGTCTCAGTAGGGCTGAGGGCTTCTACATCTAGAACCCGGTGCTATCATATTTTGATCCCCCTGTTAACCCAGGAAGCTCCAGGTGGCATATCTCATTTGGCCTTGTTCCACATAAACACAGGAAGGTGCCTCATGACACGTCAGATCATTGACCCATCAAGGTCAGTATTGCCTCCTCTGGCTGGCAGCAGCTCTCCAGGGTCTGGGGCAGAGGTATTCCACGTCACATACTGATTCCTTTAACTGGAGGTACCAGGAATTGACCCTGGGATCCTCTACATGAAAAGCAGACACTCTACCACTGAGCCACACCCCCTTCCATTGGTGAGATGGTGGCACCATTTTATCCTAAATGTTCCATGAGGTGAGTTAGGGCCGGAGGAATGGACACCTCATTCATTTTGTGGCCGAGTGGGGAATTTGAGACCATTAAGGAAACACTTCAATGGGCACAAACATTGAAAGACTTCATAAGATGCCCAGGACCAACTTTCCTAGTAGGGTTTCAATCTTTTTGATCAACTGACACTTTATGACCAGATGTTGTGGGGACTAGTTGTGCTTATTCAACTGGACTGGAAATATAACCTTGGGGCCACACTCTTCTGTACTACTACTTCTGGAGAAAACTTTTTAAAAGGATGACAAAGCTATGTGAGGAAGAGCTCGATGTCTTGCTCTTCCTACATAACACCCGCAAGACTCCCCTGAGAATCACTTCATAGTTGCCCACTTTACTCCATGTCACTTGCGTCAACACACTCAACTTCAGCTGTACCCCTTTATATTCAATAGATGCAGGGGAGTAGGAACAGGCACATTCAATGTATCCAAATGCAAGAATCAAACATGTTTTGGCTAAAAAAGCCTTCCTCAGTGGTAAAATACAAGCTGAGCACTCCATGAGTAAAACATATTTCAAACTAATCATATACAGAATTGACCCAAAAACTAACAGTTACCCAATACAGTGTAGACCTTACTCACACAGTGATCATCACCTGGCCATGGAGTAAGTAGCAGTAAATATTCTTAAGATGCAACATGGGCCACTCATCCAAGTGTTATTCATTTCATATGCCCATGGATCTGTTTAGGCCCAATCTGCAATGCTCAAAGCTCCAATGGAATCACTCTTTCTGGATACATTTTATACCTTTTAACCTGTATTTATATACTCTGACGTTTGTCCTGATATTAGTATAGGTACTTATATACAGAACCATAGATATGTGGTTTTTATTGTGATTTTAACATTTCCTAGGTATAATTAAAATATATTGCATGTTTTTATATTAGCACCGAGTGTTTAGCCATATTTGACTATTGTCTTTTTTCTCAACCTTTTTGGTTACTTTTCCTGTACAGGGTTGGCTTTCTTCCCCTTTTTTAATCTCAGTAGTAACCCGGTAGAGCAAGGGCTGCCTTACGCCAGGGGGAAACGAGAGATCCCATCAAACTGTTTGATTCCCCATTCCCTTGCTGCCCAATCTTGTTCATTTAGTTCAAGGAACCTTCAGCAGAGCTTCTGCATTCTGAGAAGTATCCTGCCTAATTAGAAGCCACGTGGAAACAAGACTTACTGGAATAATAGGCTACCAGCTGCTGAAGGCTGCTGAACTGCGTGCGGGAGGTGATGTAGAAACCACCGTTATCCAACTTGCGGATCTTGTAGTGTTTGACGTTGAGGCCCTTGGCGTTGTCGAAATCAGAGACGGAGAGGCAGTAGGCACCTGGCAAGAACAAACATACACAGGTCAGGTCTACTGCCTAACAAAGACTTCTGGGGGCCCATGTTTAACAGACCCGATCTTCTAATTATAGCCCATCTATGCATTACGTGTCCTGATCTGGATTGTGCAGGGTGGCCAAACCTTGTCAGACCTCAGAAGCTAAGCAGGGTCAGCTCTGGTTAGTACTTGGATGGGAGACCACCAAGGAAGACGAGGGTTGCTGTGCAGAAGGCAATGGCAAACCACCTCTGTCCCTTGCCTTGAAAACCCTTGTAGGGCTACCATAAAGGCAGCTGCAACTTGATGGAACTTTCCACTACCATGCATTCTTTAGAAGTTTCCAAAAAACATTTTCACAGCATAGTCAGAGGTTTTGATGCTCAAGGAACAAAGCTGTCCAAAGGCGAAACATGGACTCAGCATTCGTTTTATATACACCTCGGCCTGTCTCATAAGACAGGAGAACAGAGAGAAAACCGGCACATAAAACTCTATTGATGCACAGTTTTCCTTGTGGCACTTTAGAATTAGGAAATTGTGAAGGTTTTCAAGCAAATCTCTTGTGGTACAATGCCTTGATGGCACGTCAATGAAAGAGGGTTGCAGTCAGCAGGATGACAGTTTCACAGAGGGATGGGGGGGGGGGACGACACAGAGCAAATTACCTCAGAAGAACAAAAGCAGACGGCCAGGCCAGGTCTGTCTAATTATGGCCTGTGGCTGGATCAGCCTCCGCTGTGATCCTGTCAGACCTTGCAAGTTAATTTGTGGGGGGTTAACACAGAGAGCAGAGATAGAAGACTTTTTTTGCAGCTCCTGGGGGGGGGCGG